TCATCTTTGCATCATCTTGCAGGTGATGGATTATTCTTTCCTGCATCCTCGTTGTTTTTAAGAGATCCTTTCTTACCTTTTTACTAGCTGCACCAGCATCTTCAAGATCTGAAACTCTGTCTTTACTTTCATTTAAACGGTTTTGCAAGCTTGTGATTGAGATTTTAATTTTCTCTATATCTCTTTGACTCTGCTTCATGCAAGCTATTTCTTTCCTGAATTGCTCATTCAAGGAATCTGTCATTTTTCTAATCTCCTCTCTTTTTTTATCAATGTCTTCTTTAGAAGCAGTTATAAATACTTTTACTGCATTTGAGCCAAGCTAGTGTCCTCTGCACTTGTTCTGGGTAGGGATTGAGTTTCCTCCATATGTTTCTGCATTTGATTCTTTACTGCACATGTTCTTAATTCAGGGATTTCTTTTTTTATTTTCAATCTGAGTTCCTCTATACCTTTCTGCAGTTGTTTCTTTATTTCAGAAGCTGTTATTTCATTGCTTTCAGCTGTGTGATTCCCAATTTGTTCTGTGTTAGTATCCTCTGCACTTGTTATGGGTGGGCTTGGGTTCTGAGGTTGCATTTTGTTCCTTCTTGTCATTTTGTGTGGCACTGTCTTCTGACCTTTGTTGTAGATCTTCGTTGTAGTTATAACCTTAGCAGGTACTGAAGTTCAGGTGCAGATGTGGCCTGGGCTAAGACTGGGTCTGGGGGTTCCCGGGACGCGGCAGAAATTCCTACTCAGCGGGCTGGGTGGGGGAGGTTCTGCGGAGTGGTGGGGGGCGTCCCGAGGGGGTGGAAGAGGGTGTCTCCCATGCTGCGCCTGGGCTGGGACCAGTAGTAGGTCCCACCGCGCAGGGTAGCAGGAAGCTCTTCCACACACTCACTGGGCCTGGGCTAAGACACATCAGTTCATTTTTTAATATTATAGAATCTGTGAGTTGTTTCTTTTAGCCACATCTATCTATTAAAATATTTTTCTTGTAATTAAATACCTTCAATAATCTCCTTTATATTCCATTCTTACTTCTTGGCACTATCATTTTTATATTGGGGCAGTGTAGGAAAGTCTTTAGAAAAGTCAGAGGAATTTGGGTTCTAGTAGTAGCTCCATCCATGTAACTTGAACAAATCACTTAAAGTCTTTGAACCTCAGTTTTTCATCTTTAAAGTGGTGATATTTATTTATAATAATACCCTACCAAGTTAATATGAGGATTAAGTAAAACTGTAGGAAACTTTAAGAAGAAAGTACCAGGAAAAAGACTACTCAGGGTTTTTATTAACTTTTTTTTTTTTTTTTTTTTTTTCAGCACTGGAGATTGAACTCAGGACCTTGCACTTGCCAGGCAGGGGCTTATTCTACTGAGCTTTCTCCCCAGCCCTGGTTTTTTTTTTTTTAAATATTTAACAATAAGGGTTGGCCAAATTGCTCAGTGGATTAAAGCACCTGCAAGCAGGTGCAAGGGCTGGACGTTCGATCCTGGGCCTGCCATGCCGGCCCCACCACCCGGGTACACTGAGACAGCATTTGAAACTGGGCATGGTGGTGTGCACCTGTAATCCCAGCTCTTGGGAGGCTATAAACAGGCAGATCACTATGAGTCCAAACTAGTAGTCAGACCCTGTACACCCTGTATACCCTTCCCTAAAAATACAAAAAGTAAATATTTAACAATAATAACTATTATTGTATTATTATTTAACAATAATAACTATTATTACTATTTCTTAGGCCATTTCTGAAGATAGAATTTATCTGAATTGTTAGCCACATACTCTATACATTAAATGAGATGGAGGATGATCTTGTGCTTTAATTCCCACTAGTGTGTTCTTTTGCAGGAGATGTATTTTTGAATGTACCTCAGTTATCTTGATGCCACTAGGTTAGAGTACCTCTGAAACCGGCAAAGCCAAAACATAAATAACAACTCTTTCATGGCTTCTAGATTTTTTTCTTCCCAATTGATTGTA